CGTCCTCCCGGACGGTGTACTCAGCCGACCCTTACTTAGCGTCCTCACGGACGGCGTGCTCAGCTGACCCTCGCTTAGCTTCCGCACAGACGGCGTACTCATTTAACCCTTGCACGGACGGCGTCGCCGATCCTTATTTAGTGTCCTCACGGACGCCATGCTTAGCTGACCCTGGCGCCAAGAGACCAAGTTCCAGCACTGAGCCCAGGGAAGCCTCGCTGGAGAGGCGCGAGCAGAGCGCCGGCACCTTGGGAAGCTGTCAGGAACAGAATTGGGAGTCTCTCGGACTCAGTCCCCTCAGACAACCTGCCAACTACCTTAGGGGGAGCTTCCAGAAATGAGGATCCAACTGCAGTAGTGTCTAGATAAAGACATCCCAAATCTTGCCAATACTTCTTTGGCCCGCATTTTGCGACATCATCAAATCGACGATCTATCAAAGTTGTGGATGCCATTGGATCCAGTGATTTGTTGACAGAAATTGTGGAAGAGAGACTGTGCTTCTAAGAATACCTTGGTCCGAGGAAAGTCCCCTTCAGCCTCGCGCCTTACTTCTGTGATCAGCCATTTTTAATGAGTCAAGTCACAGTATCGAAGATGCAGGCGCACATGCTGTTCCTCCGGCATGCATGCGGGGCAGTAAGCACATATCGTTCGCATGGTCACATTGACGTCAAACCCTTTCATCCTTTTCAGGTCCACATGACATGACCGCTGCAGTCAAAGCGCAAAATGCTGTCAGCGTCGAAGTCTCCAGGAAGAAGCTTGCAGACTTCGGATACTTCCTGCAAACATTCAGCTTGCACTGCTTGATTAAAGAATGGCGGCTGTCCAAGTACTGTACTCCCCTCATGCAATCTCGTGCATATCCGACCATTCTTCTGCGCTTACATTCTCGGCCTCCATTTCGAATGGTAGCCCTGCCTGGCGAAAACACCAGACAACTGCCAAGTGCTCTTTGGCAGGAGCCACAATGTGTTATACCCTGTGGAATGGATGCCATGAGGCAGTGAGGCGCATCTTAATCTCAAACAGCAACCCTTGCTCCTTGTAAGTACAACACACCTCAAAACCAAGTGCTTCCAGCCTGCTGTGCTGCGGCCCAGAAGCGCAGCTCACGCCCGGCCAGCGTTGCTTTGTGCACGGCCTGGGAGCTTGCGCTGTCCAGGAGGGAGGTTGGGATCCTTCTTCCTCGCCATGTCAGCACTGAAATACGGAAGCCTTACTGTCTGCTAACCGATGGTAATGCTTACGGCGATCCTGCTATTCCTGAGATGTTCTTGTTCTTTCTAGGAAGAAACTTTTACCCGGCAGCCTGAGCTCCAGGCCACAGGCATGTCACAGAAGTCGAAAGTCTCCATGAGCGGAACTATTGCTGAGATTCTGCAGTGAAGTACTTGGGAAAAACATTGGCACCTCGCTAGGCGACCCTCCCTGGGGAAGCAAGCTCTGTTCCTTCAATGTATGGCCTGGCTGGCCCGTCCATGTAGTTGTCTTCTGTCCGAGCCACCCACAACCAAAAGCTAAAGCACAGCAGATTGAACTGGAAACTTCCAACTATTTGGTGGAGGGGCAACACTCAATTCACGGCAGTTTGGAAGCACGATGCTTGTTGCGACGTGTCGCGGCACTCAAGAGGCTAAAGTCGGAGTCCCTGCTGCGGGATTTCACACACAGGGCGTTGGTTCAACTACAAGCTGGTCAGGCCTGAAATGCCTCGCAAGAGAACTTGTTGACCTTGTGCAGCATGGTCTAGCAGGCTCACAGTCTCCCAGCCTTCACACCTTTTTAATCGTTGTCCGCGCAGGAAGCTAGTCTTAGGCTAGCCTCTGAACTATGTGGAGGCCGCGGCTGCCCACGAGCACGTCACTGAACTCATTCACCTCAGACGGCTTCAACTGGCTGACAATTTGAGCAATGTTTTTTTGGTAGTGGAACCAAGCATGATTGCATCCTTCTCGTAGGCTATAAAACCAAAAGCAGGAGACAATCTTACTCTATGTACTGCAGGATGCCCAAATGGAACCCTACGCAGGTTTGGATGCCTGCTGCTTACCCATGCCACGCTCAAACGGTGTGTGATTTGCGTTCCTTTCAGAAATATCATGTTTTTAGCACAGACCTGAACAAGTTCTCACAGCCTGCCCTGGCATTATAGGGGGGCTGGTTTGTTCAGCTAAGTAAGTTCTTGTGCTGGATACTCTACCTCGGAAGGCTTGGCTCAGGAGCTGCGACTAAGCATAGGGAAGGTGGTGTAGCTAAGCCTGGAGGCCACCCGAGCGCAACGGACACCCCCAGGGACTTGCTGGTGCGAAGCACTTGGTGCTGCTTGGGAACTGCATGCCAATTTTTACAGTTGTTCATAGGGGCAAAAGCTGGTAGCATCTGCCTCATGATTCTGCAGAAGCTACAGGCTTTGGTTGCTGCTTAGGACAAATCCTGTCACTGAATGACACACAACACAAAACTGAATTGCTTGCGCATTTACCCTCGTTGTGGTGCCATTATTGGTCGTACTGCTCGGAGCTGCCATTCCAACAAAGGGCGCACATAAATTGACCACCCCAAACCTCCTGCATTGACAGACATAGGTTCCAGTAGCCGTAGCCAGGCAGCATTGAGGGCAAAGACGGCTTCGTCCAAGACTGCCTCTGTTTGGCCCTTGACCTCGCGTCCAGCAGAACCCCCCAACAAGGCCATATGTTTCACGTGGTGTCCATCAACAACAGAGCAGGGCAAGTCTGAATCGTAGCTGGCCCATCCTCGTCCTCACATGGGAATTTCGCCTATAAAAATCCCTCTGTACTCCTTCATAACCCTCTGAGAAGCCTTATGATTCTAGAAGATCATAAACCTTAAGGTATCCTCCAGGAACTGCTAGGCTGGGCCCGGGGCAAGCCACCCCAGGTCCCCGCAGAGCTGCCCGGGCTGGTCGCCGCTTTGGCAGTCCGAAAGCTCCCTGTCGCAGGCGCAGATTCTTACTTGTTGTTAGGAGGGAATAAGCGAGGGGCCCCCAATATAGACCCCAAAACACTATAACCCTCAGCATCGGGACCCCCAAGAAGGTACCAGTAATTTGGGGAAACCCAACTTAGGCTTGAGGGTTCGGCTCTGGGGCTAGGGGTTCGGGTGTTTTAGGATTTAGGGCTTAGGGGTTGAGGGGTTTGGGGTTTAGGGTAGTGGGAATTTCTGTCACAAAGTGGCGAACGATTTCTATTATGACGACCAGTGCGACACTCGCAGTACGTGCACCGAACTGCACGGTACTTATACATCTGTCAGCTGTAACGGTTGAAGAAACTGAAGAATTCGACAAGCCGGCCATGCCAATGTTGGCAAACAAAAAAGACTGAGCTGCGATGAGATGAGAACGGCCATCCCGATCATCGTCACGATCAACGTCAACACCCTCATCAACACCCTCATCATCATCAGCATCATCATCATCATCATCCACATCCACATTCACATCCACCACCACATCCACCACCACCACCACCACCACCACCACCACCACCACCACCACCACCACCACCACCGTCATCATCATCCGTATGCCATCATCATGTTGAACTCTTGAACTTGCCCCCCTTGTATTTTCAGCGTGAGCAGTCCTGTTTGCCAGTATCTGCAGCACTTGCGAATCATAGTTGCAAGTTCTTTGCCCACTGAACATGCAGGCCCCTAAAACCTCCGTTTTAGTTCCACGGAGGTCATTCCTGCTTGGGGTCTTTTGGACTGAACCCGAGAGTTGGAGCACAACATGCCACCGGCCTGCAGAGCTTTGGAAACTGGTTCCTTGGATTCAGCAGAAGTTTCAAAGTGGTGGCAGCCAAAGAAGGCCAGAAAACAAGGCCATGGCCTGAATCCGTGAATCACAGTCTACTCAAATGCATACATCGCGCTTGCATATTGCCCCCCAAACAAAAAACTCACTGGAGATGCAAAGTTGACAAAGGAGCCCTAGTCCAGGCACATACCCAAATTCACTTCTTCAGCCGCGCCGCGGGGTTTTCAATAGCGTCTCCAGGGTTTTCAGTGCGAGCTCCTCAGCATCCTGCAAGGATCTGCCTGCGTCTCGTCGCAGCATCGGGTCAGCCTGCACGGCCCAGGTCTTGGTACGAAGTACTGGGTTAGTTTTAAGGAAGTTCCTTTAAGTTACCATAATGGGCACATGTATATATATATATGTATAGTACTTAATATGGTTTCCACATGATCTAAGTTCCTTAACAGCAACCCAGTACTAGGGTGCGGGGGTGGCCGTGGCCGAAATAGAAGCTTCCTGTTCGTATTAGTCAAGGCGTCCATGAAGGAGGAGAGCGAGCATTGTCGGTTCTCAGTCACTGCTGTGGTTGAGATGTAGTTCTGCAGTTTCATTTCAAGTTGAGCTGAAATAAATCTAGCATCACCTGCTTAAGAGGCGTGGATGTGCGGCGTCCCACTGAAGATGCGCTCCAAAAGTGAAACCCTGAGCCGAGAATCTCAAAGGGAGGCAAGGCTCTACCGTTTCCACGCTACTTCGCCATGAGCCCCACAATCATCATTTCCTGCCTGCTTGATGGGACACACTGGTATGGAGAACGAGAACCCATAGAAAAACATATGGAGCATAGTAGCCGGTAGCGGGCACTCACGCCTTACCCTCAGGGTCCCCATCATTTATAGGTCGGTAGAATCATGGATTTGGCATGATTCGGCGTGCGCAACGCTCCAAGGAGACTCTCATGGATTCTGATAGCACTGCGCCCAAAGCCGTCCAGTCTCGAAATGCTTTCCTATGGGATTTTTTGGCAGACCCCCGTACTGGAACAGCATCAACTTCCTGCCTGGCGAACCTGCTGATGGCGCAACAGGATGTGCCGCACACGCACAGTGTCGGAGCTGCCAGTCTTCTGTCGCTTTGCGGCGGAGGTTTCCGCCTAGCTGATGGCATTGCAGTGTGTTCCCACGCGAGTAGTGTTTTTTTGGTAGTTGAATCCAGTAAGATTATATTACTTATATGAAATACTATACCCCTAAAGGAGGATATAATTTAAGTATATCATATAATCTTACTCTATATTGGGTACCATAGTATCCCCACATAAAATACTACTCACGCTGGCTTTCTGCATGCTTCCGTGCCTTCCCTGACCGCCTGACGCTGATGCATACCTCGGCACTCAAATCACTGCAGGCAACAGTTGCCGGTGGCCTACTTGCTTTTAGGTAAACATGCTGGCAGGCTTTGCATGCGCAGCACAAAAAAAATTATCGAGCCAGGTCCTGGAGTGCGTTGGCTTCACACCAGGAACCCCATTGCGGCCGCTGAGGTGCAGAAGCGCTGGATGCATTCGATGAGGTGGGCTGGGCATCCGCCAACGCGTTGAAGACCAGCACAGAGGCTTTTGGCCTGGTGGCTAGAGTGCATGGGCTTGCATAAGGCGTAAGCAACATTAAGCAACTCTGCACATCTCTAAACTGATCCTGTTGAGGTGATGCCTCTCCAGACATGCTCCAGCAAACCTCAGGCAACCTCAGGTGCCTTCGCGAATGCGCCGCCGCTGCTCGAGTCAGCTCTTCATCGCTGATAGCGGCTGTCGCACCACCTTCAGCTGCGCTTGCTCTTGTCCAAACCTGCTGTGTGAGTTTGCCTATGTTTGCCTCTATCAACTAAGGACAACACACAGCAGTGCGAAGCGCACGGAGGCGTTGGTTGACAGCATGTAGGCAATGGACTTGGGCTCCATCAGCACCACAGGCCGTGGAAAGCGCAAGTCCCGAAGGCCTGGATGTAAAGACCACTTGCCACACACAGCCAGCGCTCACTCACTGCTCACATCCACCTGACCTGTATTGTTGCAACCAAGGATCCCAAGGCACGGCTGCAACTGGCTCCCTCGCGCAGCAGCGCTTCGTTTCGCGGCAAAGCCTCTGCTGTCGTCGCTCGCGCCAGCGTCCGGACTGCCTCATCACCTCGAGTAGGCATGGGACAGGAGGAAAACGGTGGATCCTGGATCTGTGTGGCGCGCAAATCGCTTCAGCTTGTCGGAAGTCTGGTGCAACTGCCTCTCCAGAATGACTTGTCTGTCAGCACATGCACGGACATGCTCGGAGTGGGCAGTTTGAGTTGACCTCATCAGCTCCTCAATAATCTAAAATCTGGAAGGGCATGTTCCACAAACTTTAGCGCCAAAAAGAGAACCTCTATCCGGCATGGTCACGATTCAATCGTGCTCCAAGCAGATGGAGACTTGTGATGCGGAGGATAGCTGCCCGACCTCCATCTTGGCGATCTTTTTCTTCAACTCTTTCGCAGCCTTCTCAGCTTCCTTTGCCTGAGCTGCACAAAATTGCGTACCGTCTTATGAAGGGCGAGCACAATCATAACTCGAAGAGAGGTAAGAAAAAACGAAGTATCAAATACTGTACAAGCACACTCATACTCCAAAAATCTTTCAGAAAAACAAGCACTGCGCAATGTTTGTGTGCTCTGCCAGGGCACCACCTCCTCCACGATGGAGTCCTCAGCTGTAAGCGAGCTTGCTCGTCTGGTGCCATGCTAGCAACTTAGCCCAATCAGACAGGGCTCCGCATCGCTAATCCTTCAGAACTCATGCCAAGGCACCGTATTCGCGGCGGCTTTGTCCACACCAAGCAAGGCTGCTGCCCCAGCACGTGTGAAAACCTGCTCAAGAATGAAATGCTGTCCAGCAAAGACACATGCCATTCTACTGTGACATGGGGCATGCGCCAACTCTTTCCTGCCAGTCATAAAATGGCCTTGCCTCTGAATGTAGAACTCGGCGAAGCTCGCGGCAGGACTCAATGTCCTGTTTGAACCCAAAAGTCTTGCTCTCAATCCCTGAAGCTGCTGACCAAACCTGGCCTCTGCCATCATAGCCTCAAGCTTTTCTCGAGACCTTGCGGAGCTCACTCAGAGGAAGCTTTGTAAACCCGACTCACATTGGACACTTAGGACTTTTCTCCTCAACTTGCTCAGCTGCATTAGCGCCAATGGCCCAAGCGAGGCAAAGGATCCACTATGGCACCATGGACTATGGACCACAGACTTGGTAGAGCTGCTTTCCAAAACACCGCCCTTGCAAACTTTGAAGCACTGGCTTGTAGCCCAGCAGCTCTTCCAAGCGAGCAAACGCCAAGCCAAACGCTCTCCTGCATCTTCAGCAGACGTTGAAGGAGCCATGTATGACTTCGGGTCCTGGCTATCCTGATACTACGAAAGCTTGTAAGATTAACAGCCAGCGAATTAGCAAAGAGAAGGCTTGAACGACAACCACGCCGAACTCAGCTCTGGCTTCCACAAAAGGCCCCTCCTGTCAGCATCACACTCGGCTCCGGTTTGCTTGTCCGGATGAACCCGGAGAGCCCAGCGCCGATATGCAGCCTTCACCTGATGCAGGACCAAGGGTCAAAGGCTTCCAGCACCACATTGTGTTTGCATGCCGCTAACACGGCACCTGCTTCTCATCCAGCTCATCACCGTCTGCCAGCAGCACATCAAACCTTGGCAAAGCTGTCCAGGGGTCTGCAGATTACCAAAAAGAACAGACTTCTTCTCTGGGGCACACATTCGGTGCGCACAGAATCCGGTGGACATCGTCCAGCTGTTCGGGCTGCTGATGATGCAGGAGACCGCCAGCAACCTAAAGAAAGCTTGCAGAGATTGAGATCCAGAAGGCAGTGAGTCAAAACCCCGAGCACCGAGCCATGCCACCAGCCTTCCAGAAGCGCTGCATCTCCTCGGGGTCGTCCAGGCCACTTGCCTTCTCCAACAATGGCGTGGCACTCGCGGCCTTGCCAAAGACTGGAGCTTTGCTGCTACGATTCCACCGTCACAACCAGTTGCGCCTTGCCCTCGCCCTCTAGCAGCACGACACGGCAATCGCCCACACCGCTGATGACGAGGCGATTGCCTCGGTCAAGGAAAGTTCCAGAAAGGATGAAGCTGTGCTCGCGGTATCTGTCTTGCTCGAGTTGCCGAGCAGTAGAGCCAGCAGCGCAGAACAGCCACCTTGGAGCCGCAAAGCTTTCATCAGCGCATTCAGAGCCTTCGCTGAACTCAAAGGTCGTTCTGATGCACCTGAACCAATGTAGAAGCTCAGCTTTGCACTGTATGGGCTGCATGCTGAGCTGGGTCCTGAACAGCACGGAGACCACACTCTCTTCAAAAGTTGATACTCCAGGCTCGGCAAAGCACTGAGGCATACGCCGTTAAGCAGCTCCTTGTCCAAGTCCCGAAGGGTGGCCTTTAAATGGAGCAGACAGCAATGTGAAAGCACCAATGCGACATTTTCGCTCTCTCATGTCTGTTCCCGGCACCTCCAGCACTTCCTGCAGGTCCTGATGCGCGCAGTTTGATTCGTGCCATGAACAGATGTTGTGGAAGCAGCCGGCCTCCATCGTGAAGACATGGATCTTCTCAGCGAGTCGAGGGAGCAGCTTCTTGTGAAAGTTCCTTGGGCTTGCACAGCACACAGCAGTATGCAAGCAAAGTTGCAACTTCGGGCAGTCGAGAAGCTCTGCACACCACTGCGCTGCATCGGCATTGCGCACGCCGTAGAAGAGCGCCTCACAGCACAAGGCCCTTGTCAGGTCCACCGGACCGATTCTAGGGTAGCTTCAAACAAGCTATCTGATCTTGAACCAAGTCCCATCATCCCATCAGCGCCTGGCACCCCTGTAAGTAACCCAACGAGTCACGCCAATTTCCCCGTTGTGCATCCGAGCCGCAACAGCACTCGCCGGGCGGTCTACAAAGCTGAGTGGAAGCTTCAGTGCGAGCCGCGCTATCTTCGTGACCTTTCAATGGCCAAACCAAACCACGAATGACAAAAGACAGGTCAAACATTGGTCGACTCTATGCTCTAATTATCGCATCAAATAATCCATTCTGCAGCTGCCTCGCCTGGGCATACCACATCCCAAAGCCATGAAAAAGCCAGAGGTCAAGTCGGTGCTTTTAGGCTTGCCCATCCCTACCAAGGGCGCAAACATCAGGCAGGATGACGGCGCGGTCCAGCTTTGTGCCCTTGCCTGACCGGTGACAGAACTTTGCCATTCTTGTCGAAGCAAGAATGGTACATCAAAATAATGGGGAATATAAGCCCTGATACAGCCCTAATTGCCATGTCATTCTCCATTTGTTTTTCCACTCGATTCTCCATTATCGATGTAAAATGTTGAATAGTGGGGTTTATATGAGGAATACTTGACCTCGTATAACCACGATATAACAACTATGCGAATTTCCAGTCATTTGCGATTTTCTTCTGCATTTGATTCTCCGTTAGCCCAAGACCCAAAACCCTAAATAGCAGCTTCCAATGCCGCATGTTCCACGTGATGTTCCATTTGATTCTCCATCATCGAACCCTTGTCCCTTAATGTCTGTATAATATCCCGACAAAATCCCTGTGATCTCTCGATTGTTCCAAGGTGCGGGAGCTTGAGGCGCTTCCAGCTCGCACGAGGAGGTCAAACTCCTGATTTGCTGCAGAGGGGAGCTATCATGCATACACGGATGGTAGAGGTGATATGGGTTTATGTATATAATTATAGTATATATATATATAAAGCATGTGGGTCAAATGGGGATACAGCTGCACATGGAGAAAGAAATGGAAAATGAGATGGCTATACGATGTAGGGATTATACTGATACTCCCCACATGATGTAATGGTACTTTCATGCAGGCGCGTCCCAAACCAAGACTCCACAATGGAAACAAAAACCCGTTCCCAGTTCAAAGGGTGGTTTGTTTCAATGTGTGTTCAGCAGCATATAGAGGGATTGTGAAGAGCCGATCATGCTTGACAGTGCAGGTATTCTCTCATGGCAAGAGCGCTAAAAGCAGTGTGCCTCCGCAAGTACAGCTTTTCGGCACATCTGCCCGGCGACTAGAACTTGAACCTTCTTGCTTCCAATTCTTGAATCCATTGAACCTGTTGGACTCTGTTGGCTTGATCTGCTGCGCAGTCGTTTTTCCGCCTTGTTATCTTCAAATATGTCTTTCCTTTTCCTTGCGCGCGTTGCATGGCTTTACATACACTTCTTCAGCTGTTGCATTCAAGGCTTCTCTGCATTGGGTCTGGCAGAGTCAGCCGAAAGTTGGCAAAGTCTATTTTGCCGTTTCCGGAGCTTGTCCGTAGTTGTCAAATGCCTGGAATAGGCCAGTCTTCATTACTCTTCGCATTCTAAAAACCTTTTCCTTTCTAGTCACACAAGATTTCTGTGCAAATCGCTGATCACGGATTAGATTGCGACTCGCATTTGCGACTCAACCTCCAGCGTTCGGGGCTGCACGGGCTGGAGGGAACAAATCGGAAAGCACAGTAACCGTGCCAGCTGTAATTTCCAGTGACATGTCTGCTTCATTGCTTGCAGCGGCTCATCAACAGTTTCAGGAGGAAAGCAACGACGTCAGTTTTCGTAAGTGCTTTCTGTCTTTGACCTTTGCCTCGCGGCGTAGCCTGCCGTGAGACATAGCCATGAAAGGATATGTCATGTTGTTGAAAACTTGCCGGAGTGGCCTTTGCCCGTGATGCCAGGCTCCATTGGGGCTCCCCCTTGACGTTTCAGAGTTTTCTGTCGATAAACCCAAAATCCCCAAATCCCCGAAGCACCAGGAAATGCTTGAGAGGAGGACGCAGATTGAACTCTCATAGCAGCGAAGCGTCCTGCGGAGTGTGCGGTGGATCAATGTCCTGCACGGTCTGAACGCTCTACCCCACGAGTACTATTCCAGGAGCTGCTGCAAACGAGGTATCGAGAGGAGCTTCAAAAATTGCATGTCTTTACCGAGAGACTTCATCATAGCTCTGAAGGTTACCGCACCTGATACATTGTTTGGGAATGCACAAGTGGGACCTCTTGTTGGAACCTATCCCGTGCATCTCCTGCCATTCAGAGCCCGCTCCGCGTCGCACATAGCGCCCAGCCTTTGGAAGCAAAGCTCTTTGCAAAAACGGGCATGAAACGACTGCGCCAAGTCGCAATCCTCTCATATTACAGACGTCTCACGAAGCTTAAATGCTTCCCTGATAGCAGACAGATAGTTTTATTCAACAGTCGCCTTCTCGCCAGTCTGAAAGAAATAGACTTGGCCTCAGAGAGAAAGTTCAACCTTTCAGGAGCACAGGGACGTAGCCTGAGCCGGCAGCTCTGGGGATGCACAAGCCTCGGATGGCAAGGCAGCTACTCCGCACAGTGCTGCTGCTGCTGCTGCTGCTGCTGCGGCAGCGGCTGCTGCTGCTGCTCGTCTGCTAGCCGTGTCGCTGCAGTTGCCCCCAACATTCAGGCACTCAGCAAATCCCACAGAACGTGGCAATGACTCGACACAGAACGTGGCAATGACTCGACCACCACTGGCAACGGCAACCAAACTATCTCAACTTCGCGATAGCTGTTGTTGACTTACCCGATTCGTGCATGGGAAATACAGGCCACGGCCCCGAGGCCAGTAGGCAAAATGGTCCAAGAGGGCAGCTGACTGTTTGCGCCCCTCTTCTCCTGAACCCTTCGGCCATGGCCACTGCAAGGTTGCGCTATGAGCTGCCTGTGCCGACAGGGCTTGCACCAACTACTAGCGCTAGCCAAAAGATGTCCTGGCCGAGCCGGCCAACGGTAATGCTGCTAAGGGACATGGTTGGGTTGTGCCTCGTCCAGCCTTCACCAGGTGGAACCAGTGCTTCCTCAAAAGCCGGAGTTTAAGGCCAAAGGTCAAAGGATGCAGCGTGGAAACCATAGCAGGAATGCAAACAATGACAAAAGAAACAACCATCCAAACAAAACCGCAGAAACAGTAATACTGGCAACAGCACTTACAAATCAACGATAATTCGCCACTCACAGCAGCGTTGAAATGGTAACAGTGGGGGCGGAGGTGGCGGCAGCGGCAGTAGTGGCAGTAGTGGCAGTAGTGGCAGTAGTGGCAGTAGTGGTAGTCGTAGCCGTTGTTGTGGTTTCGTTGTCATTGTCAACGTTGTCCTCCCCCTGCTCATCTCCTCCTCCTCCTCCTTCTCCTCCTCCTTGTCGTCGACGCCCCGCTGCTCCCGCTGCATTTTGGATGAGCTGTTGCTATAGAAGTTCTCACAACACAAACAAAGAAAGTCGTCAGGACGATAAGTCATCTTCATCATAAAAAGCAGATCCCTCCTCCTTGCTGAGCAGCTCCTGGTTGTCCCGGAAGCCTGCCATGGGAGGGCACGGCATTGCGCCCACAGCCATTCCCGAGTCAAGTACCACTGCCATTACAACCCCCCCCCCCACTCCTAATGTGAATTGTTTAATATGGATGCTAATCTGAGAAAGTAATCTTGTTGCTGATGCAACAGTATTGCGGTCACGGTGATTCTAAGGTCCCATTACGCACGCCCGGCCAGGAAGAGGGTGGTTGGTGTACAAATCATTCTCGTCGACAGATGCCAGCCTTGGAAGCACCAGGGAACTAGCACCTCGCGGCACCTATGGTGGTACTAGAGGCTCTAGCAATTTCCGTCCGTGGCAACATTAGAAGAGGAGTAGTCGTCGACATCTCCGTGATGCGAAGGGACTGACAGACATATCAGCAATGTAGAAGCAAAAATGCAGCTCTGGCATATGGGAGGTTGCCTAAAATGCTGTTCCCCTAGTTGGGTGACATGTATGCCAGGGCATTAAGTCCTGAAACAATTAAGCAAGCACAGGAAGCTGCATGTGTCCCAGTAAAAGCCCCAGCGGCTGTTGAGGCGTCCAGCGCGTCTTCTTCAGCTTTATGCAGACCTCAAAGGTACCCACTGCGGCCACTTTACATGGTTTAGGGTTTCCGGTAGTTCCCACAATTGCGATTCCATTTTGGTACCCCTCAAAATTAGGTGCCGTAATAATATCTAACCAATAACCAAAACGGGCCCATAATTTTGAGGACAACCCCTATGGATCCCCTCCATCAAGCATGTTGGGTTCTGAACTTCGACTTCATCAAGTTGGCCAAGCCAATAATCTTTCCAACAAAAGGTCAGGGCGCCCCACTTTAGTGAACTTCTTTCACCTCTTCTCTTATCTTGACTCCAAGTTATTACTACCCTAATCATTGTCCTTAAACCCTAAACCCCAGCACTCTTGCTGCAGGTTTGGTTCCTCCGGTGCGGCTGAGATGCAGATCGCGCTCCGGCCTGGCCAATGCAAATTGATGCGCAGCTGCGCTTGCAAAACAGGCCCGGTGTCAAGGGTTTAGGGAGCCAGATCTTTACAGCTTACGGAACACAACAGGGCTCTGGTTGGGCCTCTTGACGGGGTCTTGCTGTCCTCATAATATGAAGATCCTGGAACGCAAGTGCAAGGTGTATACACGGACCCTTGCCACCTGCACAAGTGGGGATCTGAATAACCAGTAGGATGTTAATCGCATATGAATGTAAGGAATTTGCTGGAAGGTGAGCGACCTCTAAAACTCCTGTTCAGGACGTTGCTGACCACAGCCTATGGGACCAAAAGGATTAGGTTGAGGCTAAGGCCTCGCCCTCTGCCAGGAACTTCTTGCCCAGTTCCATTCCATCCTCCCATCTCTACATGAAAGTCCAAAGCAGGACGTGGAAGCCTCTTCCGAGGAGTACAAGGTAAGCAGCAGTCTGAGAAACATTGCCTCCTGCCTTTGGACTTAGCACCATGCTCCCCGAAGCGATGAGTTGGAGTCAACACGATGACACAGGCAGACGTCACCGGCGCTTCACCCAGGGACCGTAGAAGCAAACTTCTACTATGCGCACTCCGACTCCCTTCTCACGTCCCTCCTGGATTGCTGTGGAGGACATGTCGACGTGGGAAGAAAAATCTTGAACTTTCGAGCTGATGAATGCAAACGAGACCAGAGTTGCAAGGCATTGAGGCATGCACCAGCCCCTTTGATTCTTGATATTTGTAGCTCAACGAGGCCATGAGCAAAAACTCCAGCAAACATATGCTATCAGTAACCGCGAAGGCTCTGATTGATGCCCGAATTCAGCACACATCTGTCACAGGAAGCAGGCGAACATCAAGGCACTCCAATGCTGGCTTCAGGTCACGCAAACCCAAGTTGAAAGCATCAACTCTAAGAGAACAAAGCCCAGCTCCTTGATGGCTTCCTTGCGAGATGCCCTTGGTGGCCCCTCCAAGTTCACAGCCTTCATGTATGGTACCTGACACAACGCTCTGCAAGCTTCTGACACTGCTTCAGTGATGCAAAAGATTTGATGTTTCCGTCGTGTGCTTAATCAAAGCAACATCAGCTCCTTAATCTGCTGACCCTTCCCAATCTCTGCAGAGAGAGAACTACCTAGCAAGTTCTACCGTACCTGTGCAGTCCCCTTGCAAATCTGAAGCCGCGAGCCTTGATGTTGCATGTGAGCAAGGCGTTGAACGACTTCGTCACATGCTCCTACCGCGCAGCTGAGTCAAGGACCACCAATGTTGGAATGATTTGGCATGTCTGCTCACGGGCTCAAGTTGTAAATGGTTCTGGCTAGGTAGTTCGCATGCATGGTGTGTGATTTGACTCACATGCATGCACTCATCTGCAGTTTTCTGCAAATCCGAGCGTAGTGATGCTGCCAACTGCACTTCTCTTGGCGAAAGCATGAAAGATCTCTCACCCCTCCCTCAATGGGCACTGCTGTTTGCACGAGTGTCTGATGAACATCACAGCTGTCTAGCGGAAGCTAGTTGGAATCCCTTGGCCCATGACCTGCCCTACTGCCAGCACACCTGGGAAAGATCTCTGCTCACCTCACCCGTTTAAACCTCAGGTTTGCGGGGAGTCCTTGATGATCACGTTCAGGACATGGAAGTCTCCTACAGGATGTACAGTAGCTGCTGGAGGTCGACCGGAAATCAGACATTTACCACCAGTACAGATTCTGTGCTGGACTCAGCGCTGTATACTTAAATTTGCATGGTGTGGTTCTCCTGAAACGGGCTTGCAAGCGGGGTGGATGTTCGCCATGGCAGCACATTTGAAGCAGGCGCCAAGGCGAGTTCCAAAGGTGAGGTTGAAAGCAGTGATTAAGCCAGGCTTGGCACAGGCCACAGAGCCGGTAGCAACAAATGCTTCTACTCCTGTCTACGCAGTAATGAGCACTACAGTGCTTTGCCTGACTTCGCAAATTTTGCCTGGGATGCTGACGGAAATGCGATTGAGGTCTGCGGCCATGGTCAGAGAATCAGGCTGTCTGAGTATGAGCTGCATCTGAACTAAATCCAGCTTCATTAAGAAGGCGGCGAGCGATCAAACTTCACAGCCAGAAAGAAGTTCAGGTAAAGGCTGAGAAAGTATGGTTGAACCTACGGAGATCCACGGAGGATCCGGGGCAAGGCTTTCCGCAGTCAGTCGACGGATATCTTTCGAAGCTGCGTTCACAGCTCCGGAGCCTGGCGGCACCGGTCACGGCAGCACTGCATGTCATCATCGCGGAATTAAAGCCAGAGTTGCACGTCGCCCTGTGAGCCCTGCTAACACAATGCACATACCCAAGCACGATGTTTGGCCCAAGGGCAGTTCTCAATAAGGTCAGCCGACGGATATCTTACGCAGCTGCATTCACGATTCTGATGCCCAACAGCACCAGTCATGCTGCATTGGAGATGTTCATCATTCTTGTGCGCAAACTCAATGGTGCAGTCACCAGGAGACGCATGCAAAGGACCGCAAAACGTGGCACACGATCCAGAGCGGAGCATGCTGAACGACAGCCTTTCCAGTCAGCCGACGGATATCTTACGCAGCTGCGTTCACGATTCTGATGCCCAAAAGCACCAGTCATGCTGCATTGGAGATGCTCATCATTCTTGTGCGCAAACTCAATGGTGCAGTCACCAGGAGATGCATGCAAAGGACCGCAAAACGTGGCACACGATCAGAGCGGAGCATGCTAAACGACAGCCTTTCCAGTCAGCCGACGGATATCTTACGCAGCTGCATTCACGATTCTGATGACCAACAGCACCAGTCATGCTGCATTGGAGATGTTCATCATTCTTGTGCGCAAACTCAATGGTGCAGTCACCAGGAGACGCATGCAAAGGACCGCAAAACGTGGCACACGATCCAGAGCGGAGCATGCTGAACGACAGCCTTTCCAGTCAGCCGACGGATATCTTACGCAGCTGCATTCACCATTCTGATGCCCAAAAGCACCAGTCATGCTGCATTGGAGATGTTCATCAGTCTTGTGCGCAAACTCAATGGTGCAGTCACCAGGAGACGCATGCAAAAGGACCGCAAAACATGGCACACGATCAGAGCGGCGGGTACAAGGCTATATAAGGAATATGCTCACTTACAATGATAAAACTAGTTACAGTGGATACGATCCCTCTTAAGCACCAGGCTATGAAAATTTGAGCACATGGCTGGCAACCTGCTGGAACTTGGCATCAGCGTGCTTCGCACTTGCAATAAATTTGTCACGCAGGGTTTTACACAGCCTTTCCAGTCAGCCGACGGATATCTTACGCAGCTGCATTCACGATTCTGATGCCCAGCATTGGAGATGTTCATCAGTCTTGTGCGCAAACTCAATGGTGCAGTCACCAGGAGACGCATGCAAAGGACCGCAAAACGTGGCACACGATCCAGAGCGGAGCATGCTGAACGACAGCCTTTCCAGTCAGCCGACGGATATCAATGAATGCTGCATTCACAGCTCCGAAGCGTGCCGCAACGGTCATGCTGCATTGGTTGGGATCATCATTTGGCTGTCTCATTTTCTTTTGAGAAGCACAAGCGCAAAACCGAGTCCACAGTATAGAGGGCTAAGCTTTCCACATCTTTACACTTTACATCCCTCTGCAGCTTTCAAACAAGTATTCGGCAAGGATGCTCCTGGGACACGGGATTCACACTGCTTCTGCTCCATTAGCGGTCCCTCCCTGATTGCATTGCCTTCGCCTCATGAGACCCAGAGTATCTTGAAACAAGGCCGCCCACCGTGCACAGCCCACAAGCGGCCACATCCAGCAACCGAGCGACATGTTGGCCAGTCATTCACAAGACTCATCACAACGGGTTACTTGTAGTGAGGCAATGAGTCATTCAAGCCATGGAAGCAAGGGTAACACATGCTTTGAAGAAACGGTACATGCATCCTCGGATTTCAGCCGCGACAGCAAAGTCAGAAAAGTCTGTGGGGTTCCTCGCGCCAAAACGCCTGATCTTCTTCCTTGCTTGCTTGAGTCCTCTCCCGACGCATTTAGGATAATGACTATGTCATCTGCTGCAGGTACGTGGCCACTCATGGACAATTTTCATCTGCATGTCGCAGAAATCATGTCTCCTGCACTGGTGATTCCCAGCTTAATTTGGCCGCGGAGGCGGCCCTCTACAGCGGTGAGACACGAGCTCGGCAAACAGAACCGCGCCACGGGGCCAAGTCTGTATAGACTGGTGCTCTTTCAGAATGCTTCCAAAGCCCATGCAGGGCACAAGTCATTAGCAGCCAGTCAGCTCCTCGGTGGCCAGTGCCGCAGAGACTTGATGTTAAATGTATGCTTGGTTGCACTTAAACTGAAATTCACCGTGCCTTGGCGGGACCGTGGGGGCATGAGCGCACCAAAAAAACACACCCCGAAATGTAAAACATGCGCCTTCTGGACTCATCACTGCGTGCCATGTGCCGCAGTGTTTCTATGATGGCAGCATGGACTGAATGAGCACCGAACAGCATAGCCCTGGTACTCATCTTCGACTGGCACCTGCGTATCAAGACCGTCACCACATCTGGTAGGTGCACGCAAAGCTCAGGCCCTATAGCAGCAGCAGATAAGCAGTTCTTGTAACAGCACCAGAGCACGAGGCTCGGCAGTTGTAGACCAATGCTAAGGGCGCTGCAGCGGAGATCCAAATCTGCCCTCGCGGGATAAGCCTGAAATCAAAGCAGGACTGAGCGTCGACTTACTTCTGGGCTCCTTCCCGGCATTTGCATGCGTCCCCAACAGTAGCGCATCATTCACCATGTAATGCACTGAGTCAAAGGCGGGAAGCTCTTGGGGAAGTAGTTGGCGTCCCACTGCATGACTTGTTGGGGACCCCTCAACTTTTCACTGTCCTGGCAACGCCATGTACAACAAGCGGATCGCTGTATCCCAACTGCAGTAGCCACTCCCTTACTGGCATGGCTTGCCCACTGACTGAGCTATGCACAGCCTAGGCAAAGCTTTTTGTCTTTTAGACGCCAGCAGGCTCCATCATCTCGTCCTCACCTTTTCCCTTGCCTACCGCTGGTCGGCCAGCTGCCTCAATTGAAGCTAAAGCCGCCTCAGCAGCTTGTTGCACCCGACAGTGGGGATCGGATTTCGCCACTCTGCGGAGTAGGATGGCCACTGAGGCAGCACCAGTCCCACATCTGCCAAGAGCTTCGGCTGCTGCCCGGCGGACGTTCCACTCATCATCAAACAAAACCTGGCCTAAGCGCTCCACCGCCTGCGCACTTGTTATGGCGTTGGTCCTGACCAGCTTGCCTAGTGTTTGTGCCGCTGCCGCGCGTGCGTCCTCCTCCTCATCTTCCAAAACCAGATACAGGGACTCCAGGGCAGAGGCTGCTGCCTCTGCCGGCACCCCGATGTTTCCAAGTGCCTCAGCCGCACCCCAGCGAGCCCCGCCATCCTCGTCCTCGAGGAGCTGCACCAGGCCCTTCACCACGGCGGCATCGGCGGAACATACGTGGCCAGCGGCCCGCGCGGCAGAGCAGCGTACGTCCGGATCCTCGTCATTGAGGCAGCGAAGCAAGTCGGGAGCGGCTGCGCTCGCCTCGCGCCGCAGTTTTGCCAGGCTGTCCGCAGCCTTCCACCGGTCTCGTGGCTTGGAGCTGCCGAGCTGCTGTACCTGGGGCAAAAGGAGACTAAATTATTCTGCTGCTACAAGCGATTCCCTCAAGTCAAAAAAAAACTCTAAGTGGCGGGCCAAAGCAGCTACATCCTCGTTCATGCTCAGCGTCACAACCATAGCTTCACCCGGGGCGCTCTCGTCTTGAGCCCGGCTGCAGCACCAATCCCAGCAGCTTCCTTCACCTCTATGCATGGCGTCACTTTGCTGGACTGCTGAAGCATCCGCACAGCGCTTGCAGCAATGCAAACTGGAAGTCTGCAAGCAGGTCTCCAGCATTATCCAGCCTTCAGAAGGTCCTTGACAGACGCTGAGGAGACCTCCACTCGTGCCTGAACAAGGTGTTGCTGAGTCGGTCTCATACCTCGCACCCCTACCATCTCCCTACCACTGCTCCTTCCATTCTGACCTGAGGCCAGTGCCAACTCTTGGGCACCCATGACCTCCGCCGAGAAAGATCAACAAAGCAATGGTCCAATTCCATGCTTGCATCGCTCTCTCTCTCTGCCTAGATATCAGCATGTCAACACCATCCCATTATCCCTGCGTCGTGGGCATTCGTCTCTGCTTGCCTTCTGATTCTGGACGAAGAGGAAGAGCTTCTCGTCCTCGTCATCCTGCAGAAGCTACTTCCGGCAAGCACTTTGGTACTTGCCAAGCTGTAGCTGTTGACAGCAAGTGCTGAGCGCTCTTGTTTTGTCGCACAGTTCAATCTAAATTGGTAGTCAGCCGCGAGTTCCCTGCAATGCTCGGCAGGCGCCAGCTTTTCTAGGCAAGCTTCAGCTTGGCTTCAGCGAAAGGCCGACGAGCTTGACCTGCACATAGGTCATAGCATGCATGGCTTGCCGGAGAACTTTAAAGGGCGTCAATTGATGCCTAGCTCAGCTAGGTAAGAAGAGATCAACAAAACGGAGGACCAACATGAAGGGTCGGGGCCGCATCACAAGCACTAGCAGTCGGAGCAGCATCACATCAAGGAACCATGGCATACACCAGCACAAACTTCAACCAAAACGCCAGTCACCAGCATCGCCGCCACTGCTGCTTGCGCAGCCGCCGCCAGCAAAACCACCACCGCCGCCGCGATGACGACCGCCACCACGCCACCACTCCACCAAAACCAAAACCACAACCACCGCCGCCGCTGCTGCCGCCAACAAAACAACCAATGCGGCCGTGAATGCTGGCCACCCCAAGCAGCCAAAAGATTAAGCCTTGAAAGTGATGAGCAACTCCAAACCATGGCAGGAGAAGTATCAAAACTGCCGGCGCTTCAAGAGAGAGCCGAACCGATGCCGTCAGTCATGCATCACTAGCAGACTGGCAGGGTTTACATGCCCCAAGGTTGCCCTTGGGTTGGGTGGGTAGGCTTCATCAACAGCAAGCCTTGATAAGTGGCCCCCTCCTCAGCCGACCCAACCCACCATGGCCTGCTTGAGTGGCAGCTTCAAGGCATCGGCAAGCTGCTGGCGCCTTGCGAGCACTTTGGCATCCTCCTGGGGACACGGCCGCTTTTGAATAATCAAATAGAAACTTTAAGAATTTGGCACAGCTCGTGTTTTAGATATACTGCCAAATAGGTAGAACAACTCGGCTTGAGCAACAGAACAGCACAGCTATCGTTGTTCTCTTTCACTCCGTCCTGCGCCTTTGCAGAAAGCTCTCGGACGCTGGTGTCATAGAGGCAGCCGCCTCCCAAACTTGTGTCAAGAAAAACTTTGCAAAGTGTGGCCCACCTTTAACATGATGAGATTCCCTCGCAGTCACACCGCATGGTTCCTGGATGATATCACGCTGAGTGAGAATGATACATTCTGGAATTTTGCCTGCTTCGCTGTCACATGATCTGGGATGGATTTCACCTTCACGAGTAGCCTGAAGAATCTACATCTCCAAGTGTGTGTAATAGCGAGTCTGCGTTTGCAATCAGCCCATGGCCATCGTGCTTCACATCTATACATGGTCACGTGGCTCATCTGTAGGGCTGCTTGCCTCGCAAAATGTGCCTGCCGGTCTTTACAAAACTTGGCAGCAGAGTGCAGTGTGCACATCTGCTGCCACCAAAACTTGTTTTGACAGGACTGTAGACCAGAAAAATCTGAGAGGCGTTCACTGCTCCCAACTGGCCATGTCCAGGATCCGCGTCCGCTATGCGACGACCGAAAATACAATCGACACTTACCCCCTTACGACGCCGATCCCGACATGGAAACATAAAATCAAGCTCATGAACTTGCGAGTCAAGGCTTTGGCGTCAGTCGCGATGGTACCACTCCCAGCACGTGTTCTCCTCGGGCGTGCAGCTGCTGAACAGCTGGCAGGCGCCCTCGTTACCACAAGGGTTGTTTGCTCCACCGTAGATGAAATCCGTGCATGCAGGGTTGCTCCGACAAGCATCGCGGCTTTTGCTGGAGGAGCCCACGTTAAGACTGGAGAGTCTGGAGCGCCAACCGCATCCAGAATGACCAGCGTAGACATAGTTAGCATTTGCATTAGCATTGCTGTTGCTGTAGTCGCTGCTGTAGCCGCAGCTGTAGCCACTGATGTAGCCATTTCCGTTGCCGCTGCTGTCGCTGCTGCATTCCAGATAGTAGTACTTGCCCTTATAGTCGTAGCAAGTGCCACTGTTGGGTGAAGCAGAAGGCTGTGCGGCAACCAGCGCAGCAGCCATAATGTCTCCATCTGGAGGCTGCAATGAGTGAGCTCTTAGTGATGGTGCTGTTGAGCCCAGGTTTGCCCTGAAGCAAGCGCGACCCAGCACATTCCAAATAGTAGTCCTTCCCTTTGAAACTGTAGCAGTTGCCACTGCCAGGAGAGCAGAACGCCGACCCGCCGCAAAACCTGCAACAGTTGCTGTTAGCATTGGTATTGTCCTGGCTTCTGCATTCCAGATAGTAGTACTTGTCCTTATAGTCGTAGCAGGTGCCGCTGTTGGGTGAGCAGAACGCAGTTCCGCAACCACTGCAGCAGCTTGCATGCGGCCAGCTGGAAGCTTCAAGGGACGACCCGGATGGTGATTTCATGCCACGCAGCTGGGTGAGCTCAAGCCTACAATCCTGCCCAGCAGCACACACGTCGTCGCCTACCAGCGCCTCCGTCACATCCTGACCGAGAGAACCCGCCAGGTTCACGAACACCATCATCAGGGCTCCAGAGACCATGGCTGCCACGAACCAGCAGGTGCAAAGGCAGCGAGACACCCTGCTACACCTTGAGCTTTGAGTTCAGCTGAGGCCAGAGGCTCACTGGCGCACATCGCGGGTCTACAAGGCGGCTAACTGTCCAGAAGACTTATAAGTAGTCAACCTCGTCGTACATGCCAAGGCTGATTCCTGCGGGCTTGACACTTCACTTCCATTTCAGAAGACAAAATCTGCACCTCGCTCAGGCGATGCATGCCCATATCAGTGCCAGCACACCATGGAGACAAAGGACTTATGAGAGTCTGCAGGATCAACGTGCCCTGTCAGCCAACAAGCCTTACAGCACCCACCTGCGCCAGGAAAAACAACTCGTGGCTGCAATCTTAAAACGGATCGTCGACGTGAAAAACACTTCACATTCTTAACACACATGAATAGCTTCGAGGGTCTGAAACTCTACATACCAGGACTTCTGCGCTGGCGGTCAGCCAATGGCCATCGTGCCTCACATCTATACATGGTCACGTGGCCCATCCGAGACGCCCCCAGATGTTGACTGCCTTCACCAAAACTTGGCAGCAGAGTGCGTTGTGCACTCCTGTTGCCTTCAGAACACGTCACTCAAGGCTTGAGCAGCAGTCACGATGTCAGTCACGATGGTAATTGTCATAGCATGTGTCCGGCTCAGGGATGCAGCCGCTGTACAGCTGGCACGAGCCAGCAAGACCGCAGACTCCACTGCCGTAGGTGAAGTCTCTGCATGCAGGATTGCGCCGACAAGCATCACGGCACTGGCTGGCGGAGCCCACTCGCAGATCAGCGAACATTTCCCCGGTACCGCAGCATCCGTACTGCCCAACATAAATGAAATCGACACTGGGGGGAGATGCCGGAGCGTTACTGTTGCCAGGGCTGTTGCCAGGGCTGTTGCCATTGCCATTGCTGTTGCCTCTGCACTCGAGATAGTAGTACTTGCCCTTCTGGTCGTAGCAAGTGCCACTGTTGGGTGAGCAAAAAGCTGTGCCGCAACCGCTGCAGCAACCCGCGTGCTGCCAGCTGGAGGCTCCATTGACATTGCCGCCGTTGTTGCTTCGGCACTCCAGATAATATTACTTGCCCTTCTGGTTGTAGCAAGTGCCGCTATTGGGTGAGCAGAAGGACGTGCCGCAACCGCTGCAGCAGCCCGGATGCGCCCAGGTGGAAGCAAGGGACGACTTTTCTGAGCCGGTGGTGGCAGTGCTGTTTGGCCCTGAGCCTGCGCGAAGCCCAGATGGTGCGGCGGAGACGCTGCAGACCAGTGCCGGAACCATCGAGACACGGGCAGCCATGCTGCCACTGCACAAAATGTTCAGGATCAACAGAACCTTGTCAGCCAAAAGCCTTGCAAGCGGTGGCACTTTGAAAAGTCCCTATCAAACAACATTGACAAGGCACCACAAGCATATCTTGCCAGACAACTCTCTCACTGCCATGGCTGCAAATTGCAAATTGCATGATCCCTTTCCCCTGGTATTAAAACACCCTAATATCTAAAAATATATCCAGAGGCCTAAAAGTCCCGAAGAGCACTTCAAAAAGGGGGAAACTACTTTTAAAAGGGGCCACCGAATCATGAATCAGGGGCGATTCCTTACGTGATAGGGGGGCTTTAATATGGAATCAAGAGGAATTAGGGATCCTCCTAATTTCCTAGGTGTTTATTTACTTTGTAATTTTGCTTAATGACAAACTGTATCGTTGCAAAATAGAAATGCGTTCTTAGTTGATGTTAAAACGATTTTCATTCGTTTCAAACTGATCTTACTTAACTTTGATACTTTGCGGAATCGATTTTAATGAAGTTCTAAGTCGAAATTAGATTTCTGTTGATGTTTACGTGATTTTGCTTGGATTTTAGACAGATGTTAATCGACTTTTCTGTCCATTGATTGAATTAGATTTTCAGTTGGTGTTGATTAGATCTAACTAAGTTTCACTTGATTTCAAGTAGATTCTGATCAGACTTCACTTGATTTGAACAAAAAATCAAAGGTCTGAACATTACTTTAATTAGGCGTCAAATGATTATCCATGAGATTCCCAATTAGTTTCCTTAGATTTTGATGAGTGTTCACTTGATTCAGATTTGAATCTGACTTTAATTAGGTTTCGAATTAGAGGCAGCCATATCTAATTCGTTCTAAAAAGATGTCCCCCTATAGTATCAAGTCATTGTTCGGATTCGGGGCCCGGATTATTCAATCTTACAGAGGGGGAGTGTGGGCCGTCGTTGATTGTAAGGGGGAAGCGATTACTTGGAAACTATGTCAGAAGTTCATAGCACGACCAGTGTGTGGCGCCTAGCACCGTGGCAGACCCATCGGACTCCAGGAACACAAGGGATGGCCTCTCCTGTCATTGCGCTGGCAGATAGGTGTTGAAGTTGTAGGCACAAGACCACCGAGAAAGAGTTTGGGATGTCATGATGAGGGCGATGTAGCTGGACAGGCTACAATGAAGACCTGCGCAACAAACCCTCTAACTTCAAACCAGTCATTGTCTAGACTCCTGTATCCCCCTTAAGAAGCCTCATAATAGTCCCCTATATAATCCCCTATATAACCCCCTTTATGGAGTTTAGGCTATAGCTCAAATCAAGTAGATCTGACTGCATTGTACGGTTCTGCCCGGCCTCGGAAGACTTGGCAGTCGCCAGCACAGAGGCTTTTGGCATGGGGCACAAAAGGCTGCAGCTTGGAGTAAGGCCCAACACCAGACTGTTCAGAGAAATGGCATGTCTAGCTTGATCCGCTTGTGCTGGATTGTGGGCTGACTCAACCCTGCTCGGTGCGCTGCCATGTCTGAAACCAATGCGAGAGTCTGTAAGCCTTTAATGGAAGTCATCATGCGGTTTCTTGCGCGGCTTCCAGCGTATCACAAGCACAGGCATGCATGCATCTTGACTATGCGTCCTCATCAAAGTTGAGCTGCATAGACTCCTTGAGGATGCAATCGCTGCCTGCATTGTTGTGCACCTGCAGTATGCCCAAGTGGATGTGATGCACGCCGGCAGAGATCAAGCACAACATGGCGAGATGCCCTACTCCAAACACACTTGGACCCCCACGCGGGTACGCATAGTCTCATTGTAGCCCATGTATGCCTCGACGAAGACCTCATGGGCAACATCATCCGAAGCCACCCTGAATCGTGTCGACACGAACGCCAGGGTCTCTGAATCTTAGGCGGTTGCATGGTTGGCATGGAACAGGTCAGAAGATGCCAGGTCTTCCACTTTCCAGATCAGCAACTGCCGGAAGAAACGGGCTTTTGCTTTTGCACGCAAAAATGCCCATGGACTCGCCCCCCCAAACACGGCATACACAGCTTGTTACTGTACGGCCTCAATGGGCCTGAAGCGGGCCGTGCTCCAGCAATTCAGGCAATCCTTTGCCTGGCCAGCACCGGGTAGATGCGGACAAGCCTCCCTCTCAATTCTTGTGATCTGATTCAAGAAGCTCAGAGTTAGATTCGATGTCGAGCTAGCTGTGTATTAAACTCCTCCTCTGTCTTCTTGTGTACACCTTCGTCTTTATGATCAAAGACCCTGAGCCTTGTCTTCTTGCTACACGTCTACAATTCGGTACAAGTCTTTTCAGTAGAGGCTATCTCATCGGAGCAGCCCAAAGGCCCAAAGGTATTGCTTTGCAACGCACGAACCCGACGTTGGCTAAAGTTCCACCTTGCAATTGAAGAGTTGCTTGTGGTCAAGGCCCAGCATGAGAGCGATCCGCTCCTTGAATGCAACCTGCGTGGGGAGGCAAACCGAGAGCCTAAGCCCAAAATTCAGGTCTCCTGATTGGACCAGCTGGCTTTGTCCAAACACCGTGGCCGACTTGGCTTGAAACCATGCTAGCGCAAATTCAAAGTTCAAAATCTCTGAGGGCGCAGCATTCTGGTTCAATAGCATCTGATCGTAACTCGTGTTATTATGGCGGCCACGTGATTTTTAGTTTTAGCAAGATGTATTCGACGTTGTCCAGTCCAACAACCATGCTAGATAAATCTGGAGAAGAATCTAATCTCGGCGCAATTCAGCTCAACCCTCGGTCAACTCTTTTTGGAGCCGGCTGCAGCTTTCATCTAAGGTTCATCAAGCAGATGTTCAAAGCTCGATGCAGCCTGGTTGGCTGGGCTCTTTTGTGGATCGAGGTGTCTTGTCCTTCGTCAGCATCGGCGCTTCAACTTCATGCAAATGTACTAACCGGTTGGATGGAAGATGCTTGAAGTTGACTCAACCATCTCTATATGGCCAAAATCATGAACAAACCTTGAACATCATGCTGGCCTAAAAATTCATCCTGGCGCCTGGCAACTTCACCAGCGGGTTCTGTGTACCTCCTGCCCTTCTCACCCACAAAGTTAGACTTCGGAGAAGCAAGTCCCACTTGCAGCAGCAACGACGAGAGGTAATGCAATCCAATTTTTGCTCCACGCTTGAAATTTTCTGCCCATGCGGTCTGCCAAAAGCAAAGGTCTCCCAAAATTCACACAGGTGCCCGAAGTTTGGCCTGTAGCCTGTAGCCAAGTGTCTCCCAGCCGGAGTAGCGTCAGGCTGCATGCGAGCGCGGCCAGAGACAGGATCACGTCCACACCTGGGTCCCGACGTACCCAGAGCTCTCTCTTGGACACCTCTATTTTTAAGCAGATTTACATTGTCATGAGGGCGAAGGGCTCTTTGAAAAGCGGCTGCTGAGCATCCCAACGACCAGAAGCCTTCTAGACCCACCCACAGCTTACCACTCCTCCTTGAGAGCCTCCTATTGAGACCATTGGAATTCTTTGGGATCTTAAAATCTGATCTGCCTCCCCGCGCGCTCAAGGGCGCTGGTTGCGCTGGCTCTGCCCCAGGGCTGAGGCTCTCCTGGAACCACTGGAAGTCGCAGGAAGAAGCACAACCAGGTGATTCAAGTGCAGTGCAGGGAAGGAACACCCACGATGATAGACGCGGAGCATCAATCTCGATGCTAAAGCAAATGTTACTCAACCTACCACCTTGCCGCCATAGCTTGAAGCAAAATGACAGATTGCTTTCAAGGCCCCTCACCTCCCTAGATAGCCTAGATGCGGCACCCGAAGTCAAGATGTTTGAACAATCATCGTTGCTACAGGACCCTGGGCCGCATTTGTGAAGAATAGCTCATTCATATTGGCAGCTGTTGGTCTACAGTCTTCCAGGGGAAGAAGCTTGGAGCTGGGATGTGATCTTCAACCTTAGGGGTTTAGGGTTAGGGTTTAGGGTTTAGGGTTTATGCCGCAGTCCTGTAGCCAGGGAAGGAGCCTCTGCTTCATTCGCTTCGGATTAAGGCTAACTTGGCGGATCTGCTGCCCGTCCTGGCAAAGGGCGGCTTTGCCGAACTTCCCTAACCCTAAACCCTAGACCTTTAACCCTAAAAACCCTGAACCCGAGTCCTTAAACCCAAGCCAGCAAATCTGCAATCCTCCTTCTGTCCTATCAGTTGTAATCAAAGACAATGCTTCATAATTGTGGAGGCGCCTTGTACTGAGCAATGGTTGGATACATCTTCACCTTTTCGGTGTTGCAAAGTACCTGCCCAGGTTCTGTGATCATTATGGCGGTCCAGAACATGGGACCTCGTGAAACAGAGGCAAACATGCGTCAGGGGTGAGGGGCGAGGAGGGGGGACGTAGAGTGTGGGCGCATAGAAGATCTCGGGCTGCAAGCCCCCTCTGAAATTGACTGCCACTATAGCGCATCAAGACTGTTGCCGAGGTGATTGATATTTTCTTCCGCCCCCCTGTGCTGTGGTGGGCTTTCCTTCTCCCATGCATGTCAGTTCATTCAGATCGTGGTGTGGTGAGTGTTCTTTCTGCCAAAGCTGTCAGCTTTCTCTTTGTTTGCTGAAAACAGTCCACCCTAACCCTGTGGTGCGGGCAGTTGTCTTACCTCAAGAACTGTCATCATTTTGAGTTGTCGAAGTCATTCAGATCTTTGCGCTTCCCCTATGGTGTGGGCGGTTTTCCTCTGCCACAATTCTCAGCATACTTGCAGTAGGTGTCACCCTGCAGCAGCGACCTGTCCTCTTGGTGGAAACACTGTTATCGGCTAAGGTCAATATTTCCCCAGAAAACAAATGGACATGGGTTCCTTGTTAGGGTCTATATTAAGCTCTGTAGTAAACTACAAGAGGGACCCCTATGTCCACTGTCAAGGGTCCCTCAACAACGCTAATCTTGACAGTAGCTCAAAGGGAATTGTCTGAAGCCGGCAGCAATTCAGTATTGCACTTTTTTCAGGTCTGTCAAATCTTTCCCCCTCCCTTCTGTGGTTGGCACTTTTGAGATCTGCAACATCAAAAACGTTGACAGCTCCGAAGATTGTGACCAGGACACCTACCATCCCTTTTTGAGATTTGCGATCAAAAACGAAGACGGTTACGATAATGCGTCTGCGAGGCCTCTAGAACGAGGAGAGGTATGAGGATCGTGACTTGCACACCCAACATCCTTGTGGCTTGCTCTGTGCAAATGCAGACCAAATCGCCGCAACACACCCTCTGACGATTTGAATGTGGCATGCCTTGGTAAGGGCGCTGCTGCTGTTCTAGTATTCTTCCAGAGTGTAGATAAAGTTCGACGGATGTGCGTGCAATTTCCGCGCTAGGTGCAGCAACCGTGCTGAGCTGTTGCAAAGTCTTGCCTGATTCACAGCCTATCCCAATCCTGGACCCAGCTATTTGCCCTGCGCGACAAGAAGTCTGTGAGTCTGTGGTGCATTAATCTTGCCGAAAGCGGAGGGCACCCGAAAGGTCTGCGGACGGGAGCCGCTGGAGGCAAAACCGGGAAAACCAAATCATGATAATCCTCAAGCGTTACTGTTAGGGCTACATCTCAGCAGAATTAGATTTGCAAGAAAGCCTATTGTTCGCACTTTTGGAAAACCTCCCAGGGGTCGCGATCCTCGCAGCTGTCGACGTTTTTGCCACTCAAAGCCGTAATCCTATTGACTGTTGACAGTTTTAGCCCCTCATGCTTTGGTCGCGTCTGAAGAGTATTAACAGTCACGGAGTGTTCCTCGTCACAATCCTCGCAACTCATAGTTTTGCCGTATTTTGAAGTACTCATGGTCACGGGATCATGGTGGTCCTCATCTCATACAGACCTTCTATAAAGTCACACCTCTGTAACCTTCTAGAAACCTTCAAATGATGCCAGCCCTCTGTAAACACTATAAACCGTCCAAACATAGTGCAAACCAGACCCGGACTGCATGCCACCAGACCACGAGGTAGTAAGCTATATACCCTCTGCAAACAACACTATAGACTCCATAAAGCTGAAGTTAAGCCACCAAGACCCAGACCGCAGGCTCACAGGGGGGCGGGGGGAGCGGGTGGTCATAGTTCAATCCTAACTTAGAGGCTAGAAGAAGGCCACCATACCATGGGGAATGTTCTTAACTCAAACCTCTAGACATACCACAGGGCTGGAGGGGAGAATTCTCAAATTCCCTTACAGACCTAGCCGGAAACCAGCCCCACTGCAGGATTGGGGGGTATCTATTGGGCGAGGAAGGAGGTCGGCCACGCCCGAATCATATGTAGGGACATGGGTAGCACATACTAGCTCTTGCATGGTAGACTTTCCTGATAGCTGAGGTTTGGCCTTCTCTGTTGCGCAGTCGACAATCGCAAAGCGTACCTTGGTCTCGGACGGTGGCTGGGACACGACATAAGAGGACCAGCCGTTCCGTCCAACATACCGGACCTTTCATGTTACCACTAGGCACCTACACTTGTTCTTACTCGTTCCCCACGAAAAGGTTTCACCCAGAATGCAGATTGAGGAAACTCTCAGACGCCCAACCAGAGCTGGGAGACAGCTGCTGTGAAGTGTCCCGTGTTGAGCTTTCGTTGCCACTCCGCGGCTTGCCTCGGAGTAAGGCTTGGGATTTGGGACCTGAAAAAATGAAGGCCCCTAGAAGGGCCTACAGATCACAGGAGAGTTTGGGGGTTCGTCAAAACAGGAGACACCCGGAGCGTTAGGACAAGAATAATGTGAGGTTTGGATTCAGGGTTCACCTGAAGATCCGTTGGATTACAGGCGATGTAAATGCCTTGCAACAAAATCAGCCACTTGCGTCACGTTCTTAACTGACAACTCGAATCAACAATCTTTTGACGGCACGCGATTTCTCAGACACTAGCATAATACTGGGCAGTAACCATGCCATGCATCGACGCAACACGTGCTGAAGCACTGCATTTTGCGCACTTCTCAGCTTGTAGACAAGGTGCTCGGAGAAGAGGAGTTCGAGCTGATGGCAGGGCTCCCACCACGAGGGGCAGAAGGCCACCAACCACTGCTCAGCACCACCTGGTCCCCAAAAGTTGTGGGAGGGCTTAAAATGAAATAGAAAGACGTTCATTCCGTGGCCTCCCTCTGTCGTCTTCGCCGTCCCCTGGAAGAGGATGCTGTTCAGCTTCGCCAGCTGCCTGAGAAAAAAACGTTGGTCAGACAACAGACAAACATTACAATCTAGCCGAACCTACGAGTAATTGATTGAATGAAGGCAGCAGTACACTTGAGCAGCTGTCCCATCAGGAATGATGATGTCAGTACGTGGTGGACAAGTGGTCAGAACTTGCGAAGTGTTCTCAGAAGCACAGGCGGGGAAGAACTGAATCTAAGATCGGGCAGCAGGTGAGTTGGCCCACATACAAATGCATTCCACGGGCTTAGGGCTATCCGCAAGGCTGTGGACGACTTGTTCTTCATACTTTCATATGGATCCAACCCAAACACCAAACCTGCGGCCTTGCCATGTAGTGGTCGCTGAAGCCTGTCAAGTCCTCCGGGACTGTCCAGCTGTCACCGATCACGGGCACCTTTCGCAGGTCTTCAAATGCCTGACTGTGCCTGTGCCCCCTGGTTTTGGGTGCTTTACTTGCACTATCTAGCCTCAGTGAGGCAATAAACAAGTTGCGCTGAACCAGTCTCTGTAGGCGATGGTGCAACAAGTCATGGATCATCACCCATGCCTCTCTGGCTGCCACGGAGGCAAGAAAAGTGAAGAGGAAGCTGAAGGATGCCATGGCAAGACGGTAAGTACAAGGAGCGAAGAGGAGAAGCCTCTTCGATGCTACAATTCGGGGCAGACCGCAAGCTCCGAGCCAAGACAGAATATGCGATGCCCCAAATCAATTCCCAAATTTGCGGAAATAGCGGTAGCAGAGGCATCCCAATTGGTGTAAAAGTTCCTCGATCACCATCATGGAGGTCCCTGATTTGGAGGCATGGCCAAACTCTATGACGACTATAGGGCTTTTTTGGGGGGATACTAGGAGTTTAGACCATGGTACATAAGAACACCACACCACTCATGAGGAATCAATACTGCGTAGACGGTTCAAGACAAGAATATTACTCGTCTTCAGATTGGCGGAGAGGGCGCACCACAACGCCGAAGGCAATGATCATTGCCTGGCTGACTCTGCTGCTATGCGAGTACTACTTAGAAACATGAGAACAATCTCTAAAAAGTTGACAGCTCTAGTGATGACAGTTGACTTTATTTCTGCATACTACCATAACATGTGGCCATGTTGCGTGAGAATAATACAATGAAACTGTTTCTTGCGTTCGTTCTTAAGCTGAATTGCTTGAGCTGTAACCAGCCAAAGCCACGAGCGATGTCGCCTGAGCGGGGGATGGTGAAAGCAAAGCTTTGCTAGTTCAGGCATCAATGAAGTGACGGGCTGGATGCTGGTCAAGTGGCCCATTTCAACACGTGACCAAAAGTCCAGCCGGCAGACTTTGCTAGTACCTTCACGCACGCGGGCCCTGCTTTGAACGCATGCTGCAATGCTAAGCCGAAACTGAGGCCATGGCACCCAGATACTGCGTAAATGTCCAATTTGGAAGCCACTGGATGACCTTTGCACTGACAGAAACAGTGCACAGATGTCATTCACTAACTGCTCGTCCAACAGTCCAAAGGAGCATCCACCTGACGCCTCACTTCCCCAAGCATAGGCAAATGCTGTGGACTCTTCAGAGCCGCGCAAGGTACATCAGCAAGGCGTTGAACAAGGTCATGAAGGTGTAAAAGTACTGCGCAGCGGCGGCTTGCAAAATTCCAAAAACGAACAACATGCAAAGCTAAGTAGCGGCCAGCTGCATGCCAACACTCCATGTGTTTCTTTCCTGGCTCTGCGTAGTACATGCTCCAAGCCAAGATCCTCATGGATGATGTACTTGGAAGGAACTTTGCCTGTTGTTGGAGAACGCCTCTTCTACTACGTCATTGCACTCCAAAGCTCCCTTGCTTCACCAATAATCAGATTATCTTGAAGTGGGAGGCGCGCACTCACACTGAATTCCGCCAAGGCTCATAGATGATCCCAAGGTCACCAAACAATTCATCGCAGCGCCCACTAGCCGGAGAGCGCTCTGTCATTACATACTACTGATATCAGGAAGACTTGCGACCCGATGACAGCACTTTGTGCTGAAGTAAGCTAGAAGCTGGCCACTCAGAGACAACTCACTTTGCTGCTGCTCGGGCCTTCGACTTGTCAGTCTGGGCGGGCTTGAAGACATACTGCACAAGGGAATCTCTGATCGGCAGCATACCCGGGAACTCCTTCCACATCTTGTGCGGGCTGAGCTCGTTGTTCGACCTTGCCGCTGTGATTACCTTCGCCTGCTCCTCAACCGTGAAGTTTCCCCACTTGAAGTCTGGGTCAATGTAGTCCCTGTACAGCTCCAGAACTTGATTGTGGCTGATGGCACCAGGGTTGCAGAAGTTGTAGACACCCACCAACCGTCTCAGAGCCATCTCGACGGCATAAGGCAGCAGCTCGGGTAGCACCGTCATGCTGTTGGGGATGTTGACAACCTTGTTGTAGTGGGCAATCTTGTAGATGAAGTTCCTCTTGTTGGTGAGGATGTCGCCGTCGATGGGCATGCGAACACGCAAGGTAAGCACGTGATCAAACTCGCGAAGCATGTTCTCCACGTAGCCCTTAGTCTCCGAGTAGAAAGATCCTGTGAAGTTGGGCTTGTCCTCCTCGCTGAAGGTGAGCGATGGCTCCGTGGCGACAAGCGAGGCATCCCGCTCGATCTTCTCTGGCTTCTTCTCATCATAGTGGAAGATACATCCTGTCGCAAAGTTGGTCATGTGGATTCCGTGGATGGCACAGAGGTCGGCAAGCGTTAAGGTTCCAATGACATTGACTCGAATGGTCTCCTGACGATGCGTCTCGCACCAGTCAACGTTGGGACGACCAGTCAAGCCAGCTGCATTCATCACGTGGGTACAGCCACTGTGGAGCAGCTCACGCTCCACACTCTCACGATCTTGCAATCGCGAGGTCGCCCACTCCCAGGAAAAGCCCTTCTGTGTCAACAGGTTACCAATCATGCCACCAATCCAGCCAGTCCGTCCAAAGACCAGAAACTTCACCTTCTTGGCCTTCTTAGCTGGGGGGGCACCATCCTCCTTCGTCATTTCTGGCATGAGTACAGTATCAATTTGTGGCAGTGGCACAGGGTGTGCGACCAAGACTGAGTCCAGGTCAGTCGCACCCCAGAAATCGCTGCCATGAACGGAGAACCAGTCCACTGTCTGCTTGAGCCCAACATCAAACTTGATGGTCTCCTTCCATCCCAGCATTTCCAGCTGCCGAAGGTCGAGGAAGTAGCGCATGTCATTGAAGGGCCGGTTCCGCACATGCTCAATCATCTTCTCTGGTTCCACGTCTGGCTTCATCAGCTTGATGATCTGCTTGACAATGTCAATCACGGAGTGCTCCTCTGAGGTGCCGATATTGTAGGTACTTCCCGTTACTCCCTTGTGGAGGATGATGTCGAAGGCCGCAGCCACATCTTTGACATGCAAATAGGAACGCTTGCTCACGCCATCTCCATGCACAGTGAGCTTCTTGTTCCTTTTCAACATCATGATCATCTTGGGGATCAACTTCTCCGGGTACTGGCGCGGACCATAGACATTGTTGCCACGAGTGACCAGAACTGGCAGTCCGTAGGATCGGTGATAGGACTTGACCATCATCTCGGCAGCGGCCTTCGAGGCAGCATATGGGTTGGTGGGGTCCAGCGGAGAAGTTGCCTCGACCTTCATGTCTCCCTCATCGTGGTAGCTGGCATTCTCGCCATAGACCTCGTCCGTGCTCACATGGATGTAGCGCTTCACTTGGTGCTTCATCTCCTTCAGTACCTCCAAAATCCTGTGAGTACCAAGGACGTTGTCATCCGTGAAGGTCACAGAGTTGCCAAAGGAGAGGTCGACGTGCGTCTGTGCAGCGAAGTGCATGACCGTGTCGATCTGTTCTTGCTTTATGATGTAGTGCAGAAGATCCGGGCTCTTAATGTCTCCCTTCACGAACTTGAAGTTGGGCTTGCCGTACATTGACTCGAAGTTCTTCGTGTTGGAGCAGTAGTCCAAGCGGTCCAAGATGACGATTTTGTACTTGGGGTACGTGAAGAAGAGGTGCTCAGCCACATGGCTAGCAATGAAGCCCGCACCGCCGGTGACCAGAATGTTCTTTGGTTCGTAGACTTCCGAGGTCATGGCGGCGGACCGATCTCTAGCTGCGCCTCACCTACAGACCGCTTGCTACGGAGCCGTGAAGGCCTGAACCTAAAATGCTAACATGCAGCTGCCGATGCATTGTAGCACCTTGCCAGGATCTGGGAAGTCAGAGCCGCTCTGCCGAGTGGTGCAAGAAAGCTGGCAGCGGCTCACCGGCAGCCGCTGCGAAATCCTAGCGAGGACAAAGGGATGAACGGAAGATGCCCCTCTGCCTGATTGCAAAGTGTGCGGGTAGGAAGGCTTGCGAAATGGGTCGATAAGATAGCAGGTGTCAGTCCGCCTGCCTTTATGCGTCTCTGGCAGGCAAAACGTTTCCTAACCCTTCTGCTGGTCAAGCACTTCTCCTACTGCTCCTACCACCATCATGAAAGGACTCTGTCTTTCCTACTATTTCTACCTCTATACTATATATATATATATACATGTACATATATACACGCACCCGTATACGCTCACGCCCTGGCGGCCCTCCAATCTCCCCCCACGCCGGCCAGCCCCCGCCCTCTTTCAATGGTATGGCGCCGCTAAAAGGTACCACAGTGGCCAGCATTGACTGTCGCCTTGCAGCATCAAGACCCGCATCTTTTGCTGAGAGGCAGAAAATACTGCTTCCTCTTATGGTGTAGTGTTGTTTCTTTCTCTCATGACGTTGGTCTTTCCCTGCCCGCCCCCCTCCCAGAAGTCTGAAAAAATTGATAAGCATCAAGAAAAAATTGACCTCAAAACTATAGAAAACTTGAAAAAATTGCGCACGGTATCAAAAAAAGTTGATAAGCATCACGAAAAAATTGAGTATAGCAGGAACAAAGTGAATGAGGAATAGTATTACTCACAGTACGAATACGGATATTACATATACTGGTAGCAATACCGATAAGAACAACAATTGGAAAGAGGCTACAGCTCAAACTATTTGTTGATGCTTGGCAATTTTTCTTGATGCCTTGTCAAACTATTTGTTGATGCCTATCCCCCCCCCTCCCGGTGTGGTGGGTGTCTTTCTCCCAAATCTGTCACCTTATGCCAGCACCATACCAATTCTGAGGAAGCATCATAATTATGGAAGGAAGACAACCACCCTCTCAACATGGTGAGGGAGCGGAGCAGGTCTGAAGGTTTGCAGCGAAAGCAATGCTGTCCACATGCTGAGTGAAGAAACTGACACGACGGACTTGGAATTCTACATTGTCAATTTCTGAATGTATTCGGCCACAGTTGCCCGCATTTCAGCATTTGATTATTACCTTGCGCCTCAAGACTCAAGACCTACCCCCTCGTGGTGTGGTGGTCTGTCTTTCTTCCATGATTGTCAATCGCGCAGATGTCGACCCCTCCCCCCCATGTGGCGTGGCGGTGTTCTTTCTCAAAAAACTGTCAGCATTCTTTTTGCTGACTGACTGTCACCTCGCAGCAGCGGGCTGTCCTGTTGATGGAAACTGCCATGATATGGAATTGTCAGAAGCCTGTAGCAATTCAGGGTTGAATTTTTGTGTAGGTTAGGTTGGGTTGCTCTTCCCCACTTTACCATGACGGCTCACGGATCGTGACCAAGACACTCGCCATCCTTGTGGCCGTTGGGACTTTTGAGATTTGCAACATTAAGAAGTCTGACAGTTACGAGGATTGTGACCAGGACACCCAGCAATGTTTTTCAGATTTGCAACATCAAAAACGACGACAGCTCCGAGAATGGCTTTTCGAGGACTCAACGACGAGGAGACTTACGAGGATCGTGACCCGCAAACCCAATCCCTGTTACTGTTCACACCTCTAAGAATCCTGGGCTGGACTGTGGGTCGGGGACCATACCATGGTGGATGTTACGCGTACATGTGTATATATATATATGTATTTACACACATACACTGCACCTGCGTGTATAATCCTATGTGTGCATATCTATCTATGTAAGTATCCACCTATCTATCTACCTATCTATCTATGCCTATTACTGGTATTGCTATTGCGGCTTTTCGGGAAATCCCGGTCCAGGCCGCCATCCTCCGGGCACCCGGCGATGACATGCCCGCGCAGTAGCACTGGGCAGTAGCATAGCGAAGCTTTTGTTATGGAGTAGTATAGGGCTGGATGCAGGGTTTCCATAGGAGATACAAGGCTGATGGCATTAGGGAATTTAGAAAGGGAGCGTTCTGGTTTTGGCTGGATGTTGCTTAAGACTTCTCAGGATGATACTCATGGTGTTCAAGGGAGAAATGCAGCTCAAGATGCGCTAATTCACTTCCTGTCAGGTTCATGAAGCCTTGCTTATTAAGCCACGCTTGGTTGCCCCTCATAATACAAGTACGTGAACGGCCTATGAACGAAGATCAGATTCCCAAAAACATCTGGAAAAACGAATGTCACAGCGGAGGCTAGGTTGGCATCCGATCAAAAACCGGAGTTGTGGGCCCAGCTGGCAGACAGAAGAGCCATGCGCAGGTCAAGGTGGTGAAGATTAGAATCCACCTCAATCAATCTGACCCGACTCCACGACTCGAGCCGAAGGCCGTCTGAGTGTGCATGTTGCGCAGTTTCAGATGCTGAGCAACGAGCCCCTGGTACTCCGAATCGATGTCTAGCCTGGCAGCAAACCACGCAGTTGCCATGGAAAAACGCTTGTAGAGCACCAGTTGCAAGCTTCTGAAACGCAAACCCACCCTACACAACTCCAGAAAGTTCGGCTTACCCTGTGTTTTTGAATTCGTCATGCTCCCAGCCTGTACTCCAACACATGGTGCGCATTGCTCTCGATCTGATCCAGTGGAGCTCTCGTTGGGCCGTCCATTGCTCGAAAGTCCAAGGTAGGAAGTTTTGGGATCTTATGAGATGGTATTTGCAAGGGTGCCCGAAATTGAGAGTTTCGAAGCTGCTTGCGATCTTGCCCGAAGGCTGCTAAAAACACGAAGAGGCTTTGTTGTGTCAAGCTTGGGTTGCTGGCATGATGCACCGCTGGCTGTGAAGGGACGGATGCTTAAGGGCATACAGCTCCTGTCTCAAAATGGAAGCCGATGATTCTTGCTAGCGACGATCTCGAATTGGTAGCTACTAAAACACGAGCCAGAGCTCTGCAAGAAGTAGCCCAACCACAATCTTAGCACCATCAACATCAAACATCGTTATCGTCGTCATCATCACCGTCAGCATCAGCATCATCATTATCATTATCATTATCATTATCATTATCATTTGTGAACCTACCTAGGCCCGACCTGTCTAAACCCCTCTTATCCCCAGAGCCCTGCTCTGAATGAAAGGTCTTCCAGACCCGAATGTCCAAAGTACCTACCTGAATGTCCGAAGGTCCCTGCCCTGTAGCCCCGACAACCCTGTGTCTTTGCCGCACAAGCTCAACCGCTTCCCGCCCTCCTCGTGAGCTTCAGACAGCGGTTCCAGGAAGCATACATCTTCGAAGCACACAGATGCCAAAACTGCAGGATTAACACCCGTCAAAATCTAGAATTTTCTACTTGTTCAAAGATGCTTCGGTTGAGGATGCCTTAGGATGCAGCCATTGTAGCGATTGTCTCTTCCCGGCCCTATCCGCAAGTACATGTGCCTCATCGAATAGAGCATAGACCCCTTTTGACAGTACACGACGAAGATCTGAACTGTCCATAAACTTTGTTAGACAATCCGCGAGCATGGCCTTCGAGTGCACCCAACGCATCCGGCAATTCTCCTGAAGCCTCTCTCGAAGTAGTAAACACTCCAGCTGGGTCCTCAGCTCTGAACAACTTGGGACCGCATTCTTGGTCGCAATGTTGTATGCACTCTTACAGTCTGTTACAAGAGATGCTTTGGGAGCACGCTGCAAGATATCTTCCGGATGGGATATGTCGATGCTAGGATCCTTCATCCACTCCCAGAAGATTCGGAGCCATGACATCCTGTCCATGGACCCGCACAACGAAACAACTTCTGCACTGAGCGTGCTTCTCACCACTCTGGATATCTTCTTACTGGACCAAGCTACCGGAACAACCACGGCTCTGTTATTAGCTAACATCCGCCAATCTGTGGCAACTACAAGAGTACCCTGGTACGAATTGCTATCCTTGGAAGTGGCGAAAGAAGCGTCGGAGAATGTGCAAAAGGTAACGTGTTCTTCTGGAATGGGAACTACCATAAGGGAAACAGCATGGCTTTTGGCTTCATACAACACCTTATTCGCTTCCAACAAATGCTTCACGCAACCCTTGGTTACCTTTGATTGCAAGAATCCGACCTTCGCGGCAAGGTCCGGCCTAGTGTGCACGGCCGCGTATTGAAGGCTTCTGTTGAGACGACGTAGTTCATGGACTTCCGCTTCACTTAGAGGTGCTTCTGGACTAAGCCTACGCTCTCGGGGAACATGTATAGGGAGAGATTTTCTCCAAGTATTGACACTGGTCCATTTCCACACTACCATCGTCCCATTGACGGAATTTTATGCCGGTGAAAACGAATTCTCCTTCATCATAGGACCCAAAGTTGTAGACACTGCGCAGCTTCTGAATGACCCTGGAGAAATACTCATCCCCTTCCCCAATGCCATCATCCACGTGAATCCCAAGAACCCCATGAACGACAGCTCCACCCCCGGGCTTAGGAGTGATCAAACTGAAAGCGCATGCATCAAAAGGACTCTGAATGAAACCTAGCTGCTCCAGTGTCTCCTTGAAAGTCTGAAACCATAGAAAAGGAGCATCCACTCTGACATAAGCTCCTCCTTCGAGCTGGCATTGGTCTTCCGGCCCCATCTTAAGTGCCCTACGAAGCTCTTCGGGGGGTTTTATCCCCAACTTCCTACCATCCCCTTTGCCTTGGAGGAAAGCTGTGGACACATCGAAATTAATGAGTCGCCAACCCCGGGATACGACTTGCTGGAGAAGTAGTTGGCGAGCATCTTTCCCTAAGGTGGGGGCATCATTGGCAATATCTCCTATATTGGGATCCTCAAACCCAAGTACCACTAGTCTCGCCTTTGGTCTACGTGCTCCGCCATCCTTATCGGGAGGCTTCCAAGTCAGCACCCAACGACATCGCATCAGTTGGGACTCATCCAGCGTTCCTGCCGCTACACTTCGGACAGTCCTATGATCAATCCATGCCCCTACTTCCTTCTGCTTAGCGGCATCGAACTTGGCGCTCGTCCCCAGTGAGGTCTCGGAGTCGAACTTCAACCCTTTTCTTTCGTTCTGGGGTAGCTAGGAGGACATAATGCAACGCTTGACTAGGACTTGGCAACTGCGCAGGGTCAACGTCCGTCTCATGCAAATTGATTTCCCAGACTTGATCTTGGCTGGGATGAACAAGAAAACACTCAGTGTCACCAATCAGCAGATCATCATCATCATCATCCTCAGGAACAGGGACCTGCACAAAGTCGGGTTCATACTGAGTATCCACACCCTGATCTACAGACACTGCAGGAGAGACCTCCATCTCAGGTTGCCCCTCGGAATTTGGCCCCGAATTGGACCCTGCTGCTGCTGCTGGAACTGGTGGTGGATTGGCCGGCACAGGTCCTGCAACATCTTCAGTTCCATTCGGCATTTCAGGTGCCTCAGGGACATTGACAGGAGCTTCACCTTCATTCTCTATGTCAGCCCTTTGGGGAAGTTCACCGTTATCCAATAAATCAAGCACTCCCCTAGTGGCTCCTACCCGTGGCTCCATGAGACTTGTCCCTGCTTCAAGTTGCTGTTGCTGTTGCTGGACTGACTGCCACTCTCTCATGGACGCGGATCTGAGGTGTTCGGGGGAAGCTCTGGTAAGCTGTCCACCATGCGACAACCATACAACCCGCCTATCCCCTACTGAACAGGTCCAACCCACCTTCCTCTCTCACCTCGGGTCCGATGCCCCGTCCTATGACGGCGCCAGTATAGCACCCAATCACCAGCAACATATGTCTGCAACGTTGCCCTAGTTTTCCTAAACAAAGCTCTCCGGTAGGAATTGTCGTTATCAGCTTGGATGAAGGCAATCCTAGCCTGTTCCCTCCTCTGGAGGCTCTGCCTAAACGCAAGACCTTCTGGAAGGTCGCTCGCAGCCAACGCATGCGATGCTGCTTGTTCGTGTGACACTAAGCTAGCAGGGAGTCTCGATAACTTTCCGAATACCGCTTGCTCCGGAGTAAATCCCCGCACCCTGCTTAACGCATTCTTTGCTTGAACAGCAGCACGTAAGCATTGACGAAACTCGGCATCAGTAGCGATTGGATGCTGGGAGTCCCTACGTGTCAGCATGCTTTTGAGAATTTTGCCATGTGACTCCACCCGGCCTACTTGCCAGTGGGATTCTCCGGCTGAAACCTTGGCACATATCCCCTCTCTCTGAAGACGGACCTCATACTGGTCTTCCATGGTCCGCCCTGCTGCGGTGGCTTGGTGGAACAAGGTGGATTCGTCAATAATGTGGGTGAACATGAACTGTTGGCCACCCCGACTTGTCCAGTAAGCTACGTCCATGCCAATGACATCCCCGAAATCCCCGTCTACATGAATAGAAGATGGTCTCGCAGGCTTGGGACCAGGAACACTTTCCAAGCACACACTGCAGGTGAAATCCCTAGCCCCTTGAATGATACGTGGACTTGCTTTGCGTTCTTCTAGAAATTTCACAAGCACTGCTGCATCTGGATGCCCGAGATTTTGGTGGATTCTTCCCAGCTCTCGCTTCTCTTGCTCACTAAGGTTAAGATACCCCGGACCACGAGGAGGATACCCCTGTTCCAACCCAGCGGGAGCTGCTTCTTCCACCCTTCTCCTGACTGAAAGCGAACTAGGAGACATCGGTCGTGCAAGTGGCTCTGCTGCAGCGCCATTCGGTCTATCATCTTCCCTACACCCCTCCCCTAGAGGCCCTATAGAACCTATACTAGGAGGGTCCCCATGAATGGCTCCTTCGGCACCGAACCTTCTGTCACTGGAGCTTGCACCACTTTCTCTGGACGCTGTCTCACTGCGGCTGCGGCCGTAAATTGTGAGACTGATCCTTGCAGGGATCCCTTTTCGCCAGCGCTTATATTTGGGTACCCTAGTCCAGGCTTCAGGCCCCCCATCAACCTTAACCTTACCATCTTTACGGGCCACAACCATCGTCTGGCGCATAGGAATGTCCTGCGGATCTAAACCCGGCTTTGGCAACTGAACTCGATTGGTGCCCCTCGCCATGACAACATGAACCACATGGAAGTGCGGAGTCAATCTCTGGATCTGTCCTACGACCTCATCCCCTTGATTAAAATAAACCCTACCCCGATGAGACACATCTAACTTGGGATTACGAAAGATCTCACCCCAGGACGGTGAACCTGATTGATTCTGACCACCCCCAGGTTGCGGCACAGGTTGCTTGTAAACTAACCGGCGGCGCTTCACAACTTGCTGAGCGGCTTCAACTTCCGAGTTGCGGTCCCCTGAGGAAGAGCCCTCCCCTAGAAGTAGCTCTGAATTATAAAGGGGCAACTCTTGATCACGCATGAGTGCACTGGCTGCTAACTCTGCAAGTTGGAGCTGCCTTGCCTGCTGGTGTGGTGTTGTCGCGCGGTTCCTGATGTTTCGGGAACTGCTGTTGGGAAATCGGGAGATCTGGCGTATGTCAACTGCGCGGTGGACCGTGCGCGAGGTGGTGTAAAGAAAGCTCTGCTTGTTCAGAAAATTGTTGCCTTTGATCCTTCCGGTTCCCGGCACATTCGTAAGGCAATGCATTGCACACAATGTACCGCGAAGTACATCTTGCAACTCCGGATCCTCCCCACCAAAGAGGTTTTGGCCACTCTGCAGGTGAAAATGTCTGCCATGTTCGATTTGATGGTCATAGAGCTGAACAATGGCACTCTTTGGCCAAAACACCTTTGAAGGAGATAATCCTCCGCAATGAATCCAAAGATGCCGGGGTTCGTAAAAGTGAATCAGCTTCCATATCCTATTCAGGTCGGACGCTGGGAGTGTTATGACCCTTCCCCGCTGTCTTTGGACACATCCTCGGATTCCATCGCCCGCAAAGGTGATCTCGAGAACATCCAGCCGAGGAAGTTTGTATCGGGACTGTCCGGGCCATTCTTCAAAGGATTCAAACTTACCAAGCTGTTCTTCTATTTAAAGAATGCGGCCATCAATTTTCTGACAAAGCTCGGCCACGTTAAAGGTATCAGCCCCACAATCCTCCGCGGCTGACACCGGCTCACCGCCATTCACTTGGCAACCTTCTCGGAAGTCGGCTCCAACTGCTCCAGTTGCTCGAGCTCCCTTTGCAGGAGCGCCTTGCGAGTCATGATCTCCAAGCGCTGGTCGGCGGTCAAATCGTCCTTCATCACAATCATCTTCTCCTGATCGGGATTGCGCTTGGTGCTCCTCGTCCTCGGCATCGGCGCCATGGTCGAAGAAGCGGCCGATGTTGTGCTCTGCGTTAGGCACAGCTTCCATCCTTCGTCCTCCGGATTCGAGTCGATCACCTCCTGGGTCTTCGGGAAAGCAGCCTTGCCTTTGCCCTTGATCGCCGGCTCCTCGGTCTCTCGCCGCATCTTGTCCTTAACAATCGCTTTGAACTTCGCGATGGCGAAATTTTGGAAGGAGCGCGCCCACGCGCTCGTTAGCGTGGTTTTCCGGGCCACGTAGGCTGCACACGGCATGTCTTTGAGGAAGGCCGTCTCGAAAGACAGGGCTTTGCGCTTGCCCGACGGCAGGAGTTCCTGCCCCCATTCTCTCAATGAGTTCACATTTGGCGGGCGCACATAGTCCATCGTCAGGAAGTGCTGCAAGTTGATCTGGCCCTCGTCGAGGGCGAGGTCCTCGGCACCGCTCAAGGGCTCGTCGAGGTTGATGGCTTCCACCGAGCATTCCATGGTCTCCTGGAGCTTGCGGGCGTCTTTGCGGCTCAGACCCGGCATGCTGGCAAGGAGCGGGGGACAAAGAGTGCTGGGCGATCGCAGTAGGCTGTTGCTGATCTCCTGGCTGCGTGAAGACAGGTGTCGCTGTGGGCTGCTGCTGTTCAGGATTTGTGGCGGTGACCTGCAAACAATGTTCGCCAACAGACTGCATCAAAACAGACAAATCAACAATGGATAGTCCCCTCTCATCCAATCTCATGGGAACAATTCTATCCGGCAACTGCAAATACCCCTTTCTTACATGAATAATGGCATCTAACTCTCGCAACAACCGATTCGATACAAGAAGAGGAGTGTTACCTGGGATAACCTCAACTCGGATCCAGGATGACTGGTCAGTCGGCACAAGCAGAGCATATTTGGACTGGAGCGTCCCGCTGTTTCCAAATCTGAAATTGATGCCGGAGGTAATCTTGCGGACTCCAGCACGACACTTCGCATCAAGTCCCTGTAGTACCTCCTTTACTCTCTGGCTCCCCACTACCGTTCGACTAGCCCCGGTATCGAGAACCCCTTCTGCCCCAGTAGCGGTAACTAGAACTACTTCCCCAGAATCTACAGGAATCTTTTTGCTCTGCAAAACGGCCGGCTCAGACCCAGCAAGCTTCTGCTGATCCAGTCGCATCCTGGATGTTGGCGGTGTGCACTTTCTATGCTTCCTGGCAAGCGATAACAATTTGCACGCAAGAACCTCTTTCCAACTGCGGCTGGTATCCTTTAAAGACGCAACAGCCATGTAGCAAGTTGTCTTGGGAGGTTTAATTAAGACCCTGTCTGAGCATGTGTGTCCGGCTTGGTGTGCTAATGGTCCGTCCTCGTCGCTGTCTATCAGCATGGCATCTCCGGGCATGCTCGAAAGGATCTCCGGGAGGTAGGGCTCATCAAGCGGATCGGCTTCTTGGGTGTAGCGCATGGCTTCCACCTTGGAGTCACCACGTCCTTCGTTCTCAGGGCGTCTTGGACATTCCCTTTTCCAATGTCCACGCGCCCCACACAAGCGACATGAAGAATTCGCTACGCGGTCCGCAAGTGTGCGACTGCGGCCGCTGCCCCGTGAGGATGCCTGGGCCATCGGTGCTTTGCCCTTCTTGCCACCCACCTCGCCCTTGCTGCGGCCCTTTGAGGGCCAAAAGCCCCTCGATCGGGCTTTCTCCCGCAGTCGCTGTCGGGCTTCTTGATAAGTGGCATACACGGGGGGCAAGCTCGCTCTCTTGGATGGCCTCGATCATCTGATCTTCAAATTCCGTGATGAACACAGCATCCTCGTCATGACTCTCCAGGAAATAGCAAAGGATGTCCTCATCGCTTGGCTCGTCTTCCGTCGTCATGTAGGTCTCTTCCTCCGCGTCGCCCTCCGTGCGGTGGATGTCGTACACGCGTCCACGCTCCACATTCCTGGAGGACCCTGCGCTTCCTGCACCACGTTGCAGGAGATCCCCAAAGAATTTGGACCCAAGCAGCCTAATTGCCCTCACGGTGGCGGCATACTTCAGGTCGCCGTTGGACTCCACGACCACCTTCTTCTTTTCTTCAGGCGCAAGCTGGGAGTGCCTGAGCAGTATGTATGCTCTGACTTCTTCGATGGTCACGTTCCGAGCAAGAAGTTCTTCAAAGAATGCATCGTGCCGAGCAATGTAAGAATCGTTGGTCTCATCGTTCTTCTGGCTCACCTGGTAGATAGCCTGCTCAAAGAAGTGATATTTCTTGTCGGTCAGTGTCCTACCCCAGGATCCACCAAGAGTCTCGACAAGAACTTTGATCCCGTCAGGTTGCCGAAGCTTCTCCGGAGCCAGGCGACTAATCTTTTGGAAAGCCGAGCCCTCAACCTGGAGCGCAGCTCTCGGACCAAGAAGGTGCAAGTGCTCTTCTGGCCACAACTCTTTCAAAAACTTCAAGCGCTGAACATACTCATCCACTTTGGTAACCCCTGGCGTGAACTTCGGGATCTGCTGCCACGGCAGATGGCCCAGGGCACCTGTCCCGGAACTCCCAGCTGGAGCTTCTGGCGCTTCCCTTTCAGCGCCCGGCATGGGTGCTGCAACGGAAACTTTGGATCTACTTACCCCTGTTTACGTTATCTACGACCCCCTAATAGATAACGACAGGCCGGGCTCCGCTACCAAACCTAGGCCCGACCTGTCTAAACCCCTCTTATCCCCAGAGCCCTGCTCTGAATGAAAGGTCTTCCAGACCCGAATGTCCAAAGTACCTACCTGAATGTCCAAAGGTCCCTGCCCTGTAGCCCCGACAACCCTGTGTCTTTGCCGCACAAGCTCAACCGCTTCCCGCCCTCCTCGTGAGCTTCAGACAGCGGTTCCAGGAAGCATACATCTTCGAAGCACACAGATGCCAAGACTGCAGGATTAACAATCATCATCATCATCGTCGTCGTCGTCATCATTATGGTGGTGGTGGTCGTCATTGTCCTTGCTGCTGCTGCTGCTGCTGCTGCTGCTGCTGCTGCTGCTGCTGCTGCTGATGCCGGCGCTGCTGCCGCTGCCGCTGCTGCTGCTGCTGCTGTTGATATGATTCTAGCTGCGATTGGCATTACAGAACCCCAGGCCGCTCCTTTTTGCCGCCCAGGCGCCCGAGCGTCACGCTACCACAGCAGGTGGTATTACAGCAGATCTTCTGCAGCAAGTAACGAAACATGACAAAAAAAATCACAAGCCCCTGTCAGCTTAAGATTGGTTAAGAGCACAGAAACTTGCATAACCGCCCAATCGTGGCTCATCTCTTTCCTCACTTGCTCCTCCAATTTCCAGCCTGTGGCTAGAGGCCGGCACCGATGCGGCGCTGTCCTTCCGGGAATAACTGCGCGAAGAACAGTGCCATAATAGCTGAGCCCAGCAGAAGCCGTAGGGGCTTCTACAGCCCCCTCCCCACAGATCTCAAGCTCACAAGCACCACGTAGCACCACTGTCCAGTAGACAACGCTGCCACCCAACCAGAGACTCGGAGCACGAGCGGATCGTCCTATGAAGGGCATCCCATCCCACAATCCCCATGTTCAACAACCGCGTATACATAGCACACACATGAATGGCTGCAACTCTCAGACATGCAAAGCTTTGGACTTGCCCCTACCTCTCTGCATATCCGGGCTCTGCATGCATGGAAATGCACTGGA